TCAGCTGTGCTGCTGCCGTCAACACCTTTGTTTATAGATGCTGGAGATCAGCCTGTTTTTCACTTTAGTCCTGGATGTGCTCTCTTCATCCTCTGACATGGGAGCTGGCTCAGAGCTCGTCTGCCTGGCTGGATCTCTCCTGGACGGGGCCCCTTTTTACAGTTGCCTCTTGTATCTTTGCTTCTGTCTCCTTGAACCCAGATGGCCGCTCAAACTGAGCCTGGTTCTGCTGGAGGTTTCTTCCTGTTCAAAGGGAGTTTTTCCTCTCCACTGTCGCTGCAAGCATGCTTAGTGTGAAGGATTGCCCTCAGGTCAATGAGTCGATGCAGTCAACTGGTTTTCCTCAGATAGAAACTTTAAACCAATTTGATTGGATGATCTGGTGAACTGGAAAGTGCCTTGAGATTACATGTGTTATGATTTGGGGCTATAGAAATAAACTGAATTGAATTGAAATAAAATAGAATTACACTTTTACTGTAAATAAACAGCATAGTAGTTGCTTGTATGACTTTTGGCATACAAATAAGAGACTGTAAATGGCAGTGCTGTGGCTGCGATGAGTTTATAGAAGGTGTGTGTAGATCTGATCATTGGACTGTTGAGGCAGGGGCCTCCCCTGTCAGGGACATTTAAAGGATGGTGCCTTAGTTTGGCTTCATCCTTCTTTCCCTTTTTTACATAAGATCCAGAGCATCCAGATTTTAAAAAATGCCTTTTGATTAAAAGATGGATTTAGCATTAATTGACATCATCTGTGTCTGATTTGGAGCATTTTTAATGGTCTGATTGTGGCTCTAAAGCAAAAAAAAAAAAAAAAAAAAAAAATCTGCCTGGTGGTTAGATTTTTTTTTTGTGTTAAATGAAAATATTTGATGTATGTTTCTGTTCTCTTCCAAGGGTACAGCAGATGTTGCCTGGTAGGCCACGACTGGGGCGGAACGATAGCCTGGCTGTTCGCCATCCACTACCCTGAGATGGTGACCAAGCTGATTGTCCTGAACTGCCCCCACCCTTCTGTGTTCACAGGTGTGACTTCACCACAAGCACTTCCTCGTCTTTAAAGGCAGAATCAGAGCAGCGCTGCTTTGGATTATTACAGGAATTAGGAGATGTCATTACTTCAGCTGGATGTCTGCATCCAGCTGGTAAATCTTCCTCTGCCCCCAAAGGCAGGAGCTAATTACAGGGAAGGCACACACACACACACACACACACACAGAGCCATACCAGCAGGTTTAACTGCAGCAGACAGGGTGGCAGAGTCCAATCACAGCCACAACCTCGCCTTGTGAGCAAACTTTCCATTAATTAAAACCAAAACCACTAACGCCTCTCTCCTCTCTTTCCCTCCAGACTACGCTCTGCGTCATCCCAGCCAGCTGCTGAAATCCAGCCATTTCTTTTTCTTCCAGCTGCCTCGCTTTCCAGAGCTGATGCTCTCCATCAACGATTTCAAGGTGGGCTCGCATGCGTTCAAGGTCGAGCTTGCATGCACGCACACAGGGGCGCTGGCATGCGTTCCTGTGGGCTGTTCTTTATTCGCACGTCTTTCTCTAATTGATCTACAACTAATCCCATTTAATCTGGACGATGCGTTTTCAGAAATGATCTTCAATCTTCTTAAAGATTTCTACCTTTGCTGCTTTTTTTTTATTGGGTCAAACCTAAAGGTTTTGGGTTATTAATTAAATTGTTAATAGCAGAAATACAACCCAAATAAATTGAAAACATGCTTTTTTTTCAAACATTATTTATTTCGTAAAGGAAAGTTATCCAAATCAGAAATTAGTAATAACCCCTTTAAACCTGATAACTGGCTTAAAAACAGACACCATTTCTGAAGTACTTTGACCCCTTTTTTTTTTTTTATTTCAGATGTGTTTTAATCGAGACTCATTGGAAAATTTGAGATGGGCAGGAAAGCCTTTTAACAGAATTAGCTTCTGCCTTTGACTACTCTTTAATGGAAAAGTCTGGTCAGCAAGGAATAATCAATGGGTCATTATTTATACCTAAAACTACTATGTTTATGAATTCCTAATGAATTTAGCATTAATCAGTAATAAAATAAAAACAATATTTTTGTTGCGAGTCTGGAAGCGGCCATTTTTGCCCAAATATAGTAACACCTCCCATCTTCCAGCAGTGACGTCACGGTGCGGTAAGCCTAGCGCCATTCTCCCCGCTTT